ATGTTATTAAAAATTAAAAATGTTAAACTTTAAAAAATACCATACATAACTAAAAAAATTATTTATTTTTTTAATTATGCATGCATATACATTTTTTATTTAATTTTGTGTTCGATTTTTACATTAATTGTTAATAATTGGATCATGATGATCATCAGCGTGGTCATATTATAATCATCATCCATTAGAGGGCAGCATTAACGCCACGACCTCCACACTCTCTCTCTCTCTCTCATATTCATTTGATAAGCATAATTAAGAAGGAGACTCTTGTTGTAGAAAAAGTGAACAAAAGAAAGATCAACTACTACTCTAATACATATTCAAATGTCATATCATCACCAAACCAACTCTAACCTTAACCCCCTTTTGCCAAACCAAAACCTATCTCTCTCCCTCTCCCCTCTCTCACATCTAAAAATTTAAACTGTTTGAATGATGCATGAGGCTAATTTTCTTTCATAAATTAATTCTTAATAATATTAATTTGTATGGAGATTAATTACTTAAATTTAATTATTTGTCACGTCAGTATAAATAAATTTAAGAGTAATATTTTAAAAATTAATATTATTACTTTAATTTACAATCAACTTCTCTAAATAATTAAATGATTAGAGAATTTTTTTTACTATTATCTATATTATATTAGGTAGGTCCGAGTATGCGTTTCGTTTATTGGTTTTTAGGGGAAGCGATCAGAAATAATTTAGGTACACATGGGACATTATTATTATTATTATTATTATTATCCATTGGCATGTAGTAGAGACACAGACCCCAAAGGAATGAACCACATGGGGTTATCTATCAATCATAAGATCACTTCTCATTTGCATTCCACAATACAAACAAAATCCCATGTGACTTGATTGATTGTTTGCTGACCTGTGCTTGTTCTTCCACGTTTCACCGCCAATCTTCCTTCTCTACTCTCCTAGACCAATCAAAAAAAATCTAATATTACAAACAAGAAAAACGTTTTAGAGTTTTAATTTTTAAATTCTAAAGGTAATTCTAATGAGTTGACAGTAGACTCTATTCACAGTGATGTGATATTTTAATTTTAATTTTGATTTATTTTTATTTTATATTTTTTGTTCATTGTCATGTCATTAGTACTTCATTAGAGTACTAAAATTAGTGATCTGAATCATTGTTGTACAAACAAAACAAAAAAAATCACAAATTAAAATACAGATGTGAAATAAAATTGTGGAACCTTACGTAAATTTATGTGTGGATCTTATTTCTATGTCTCGCATTTCTGATTGGTTTTGTAAAAAATTTTATACTCTTAATATTACTGCTAAATTAAAAATGATCATTTTTCCAAATTTTCAGCTTAGCAAGTAGGTCATTGACTTAATTAAGGAGATTCAACATAAATAACTAAATTAGGGAGGCTAGTGGAGGCAATCAAAGACCTTTGTTTGTTTGCTAGGGTTAGGGGTAATTTGACTAAAATAATGGACTAGGTTTGGATCCAGTTAGATTGGAATGTATTTTAAAATTTTGAGAGGTTGGTGAGCTTATAGTAATGTAGAGCGCGTTGAAAAATTCATCAGCCTTTTGAAAAGAGAGAAGTAATCTCTTAAACATCATCTTGTTTAGTTTTCATATAAAAAAAAATATTTGAGATTTTTATTTTTGTGTGATTTTTGTAGATGCATTTTAAAATAAAAGATTTCTGAAAACATCTGAAAAAAAACCACTAAAAGAAAAAAAAAACAGGATTAAAATATATAAGAAAATTATTGAAGATTAAAAAAATAAAAATAAAAACTCAAAAACAACCTTTTAAGTGCATTTAAAATAGGTACATCTAAAAAAAGTTTCAAAAAGAAAAACAAAAACAAAAACAAAACAAAACAAAAAAAAAAGTAACTAAAATATTAAGAAACATTTCAATAAAGACACACACAAAAAAAAAAAAAGAGTAAAATTTCTTTTATTTAATTTTTAAATTTTTTTTATTTATCTGAATATGATTCAAATTCTGTTAAATCTAAAAAAATAAAAATAAAAAAATGATTCAAATTCGGCGTCGATCTACAAGGCCTAAACAGAGGCCACCAATACCCAGGCCTAAACAAAGAAAATGATAAGCCCATTTATTTGACTCGAAAGATGAAGCCCGGTCCCATTCGACTGGGCCTGGCAACCTTTTCACGTGCTTCAATCTTTGCAGTTCACTAAAAACTTTAAAAAAAAAAATCAATTTTTTTATTTTTTTAATTTTTTTTGTATCTTTAGTGAAATTTTTACATTACACATGGAACAGATGTGTTGGTGATGTAACAGATTCTGTTAGTTTTTTGGATGAAATGCAATCTAAGAGTAAAGTGAAAAGGATTGCAAACATGAAAGGACAAAGTGAAAATGATGGCAAACATGGAGGGCTAAAGTAAAAAAAATCAAACTTAAAGGGTCAAAATGAAAAATAGGTACAATTTAGGGGAACAAAGTGTAATTTACACGAACTTTTATATATTCACGACCGCCAACATGGTAATGAATCATCATCCTTCTCATCCCTGATCATATATAAATGTAGGAACTCTAATTTATGTGAAAGAGTTACATAATATCAATCCTATTAGAGTGATGATATATAAAAGTAGGAACTTATTTTATGTGAGAGAGTTACGTAATATCAATTTTAACTTAGTTAGGGAAATTTAGTCTTTTCATGACTCTCCTTATGAACGCAAACAAAAAGGAAATTTCATTTTCACACACTCTTTTACTTCTGTGTACATAATTTTTCAATACACACCTTATAAAATTGGTTTTATGTTTTGAGTCCACACATTACATGTTTTAAAGTCCTCGTATACACACCACCTAAACCATTCGTTTCACATAGAATCAATGGTGTAGACCCATTTTTTATTCTACTCCCTTGAAAATACAGAAACATCAAACTCTATTGAAGAAGACCCACAGTGACTCTATTGAATCTATTAAAGATCCATTGCATTGTTGAAAGTGAGCATCTCTCTCCCATTTTGTTTTTTTGTCTATCTTCACTCTTTTGACAATTTCATTGAAGAACTACAATTCTATCTATCTCTTATTTTTCATAAACTCTCATTTTTTTTTCTAAAAGAAATTTGATTTTACTCATTCGGTTTATTCGATTTTTAACTTCTGAAACATGTAAAAAAATTCAAAACTTGATTTCCGAAATAAATTCTTAAATTTGAAAGTTGAGATCCGAATTTGGTTTATATCCGAATTTGAAACTTGATTTTCTAATAGAATTAATAATTTTGGCAATTGATATACAGATTTAGTTTTAGTTTTTTTTTTTTTTTTTAACTCAAAAGATGTGTGCACTAAAATTTTTGTTTTTAAGTGATATGTACAAAGAAAACTTTTTTTTTTTTTTTTTTTTTGATAAAAAAAAAAAGAATGTTCTGAGGTGTCATCACTACATCCGTAGGCCTAGGCCTTGGAGTAGCCGGTTGCCAGCCTGATTTAACCCAACTCATAGGAAGGGACCCATACATCCGTAGGCCTAGGCCTTGGAATAGCCGGTTGCTAGCCTGATTTAACCCAACTCATAGGAAGGGACCCACCACCAAGGCACCAGTGGAGCTCATCAATTGCCCTAGCCACGGCTAAACTGCCCCAGCCACGGCTAAGTTTCGATCGGAGTACAGCGCAAGGTCTCCAAAAAGAGCCCATAAAAAATCTAGGATTTTTCGCGCCCCTCAGGAGTCGAACTTGACTCATGACTGTGGAAAGGCAATACCTTCACCACTGGGCCACCACCCTCGGTGGTTAAAAAGAAAACTTTGATTTAATATTAAAGGTGTGTTTTGATGACCATTATGATTTTCTTGCTTCAAAGTAAAATTGTTATTAAAATAATATTTTATTAAATATACACACAAAAGGTAAATAAGTGTGAAAATAAGGCATCTCGTAAATCGATTTATAGACTGAGGTCCAATTAATACATTCATTTTTTAAATTTTGCAAATGCTAACGATTGTTTGATGCTGGAAAATTAATATAAAAATTGTTTTTGAAAATGATAAAAAAGTTAAAAAGTGTTTAAAATAAGTAAAAAGTGTTGTAAAACTAATAAAAAGTGTATTAGATTCTACACTTATTTTGTTTTTTTCTTATCCCTCTAGGGCACTTGTTAATAAAATCCATTTGAACAAATTCCTACCTTTACACAAATATTTAAGAAAATTGAGTTTATATCCGTACAATATAAATAATATGTACAATATAAATAATATTTACAACATCTGCTACGAATATTAATTTTTATATCTATACAATATAAATAATATTCACAACATCTGCTACGAATATTAGTTTTATCTATAAAAATAAAAATGACACGTATGCCTTGGAAAAAACAATTAAGTTATATGAATAACAAAAATGAAACATAACTGCCTTAGAACATCTCCATTGTTGAGTAAAAATTGGAGTAAAAATTTCCTTTCATATCAAGTGTTCCAATAAAGAATTTTGAAACTTTATTAGAACACTGGTGGACCAGGTGAATGCCTGGCCAGTCGACCGGCTAGTGCAAAAAAAAAAAAAAATTTCCTTGAGGTGGTCGACTAGGTGATCAACCAACCAATGTAATTTTTTCACAATTTTTTGTCTTGAGATAGTTGACCAGACGGTTGACCGGCTAGTGCAATTTTTTTACAAAGTTTGCCTTGAGGTGGTCATCCAAAAAGACATCCGACAATAACGATGAACAGTGATTTAATGAAAGGCACACTTGTCTTCAGTTTAATGAGAGAAAAGTGAACTTCTTAATTTTATACCTATTTGATGTAACCGTTGGAGAAAGAACTTATTTTTCATCAAATTTAAATTTGATGAAAGGTTTGAGTAACCATTAGAGATGATCTTAAAAGAAGCAATTTGGCAAAGTTTTTATGGAACCATCAAAAAACAACAATCAGACTCGAAAAATTAAAAATTAAAAAAACAAAAACAAAAAAGAAATTGAGCATTTCTTTCAATAAATGAATTACGAACAAAAAAATAAAAAATCAAAATAATACAACTCTCAAGAAGACAGGGATGGCATTTGCAAAACAGAGCTATAAACAGAGATGGTGGAGTCTTCAATAGGAGAAACCACTGGTGGTGAAACACGTCTTGCTATATCCAGATTACACTCTCCGAATGTAAAATCTAATCAAATAAATAAAACACAGAAATCATTATCCACACCAGACGACTTAGGAACAACCAAAACATTTTCTAATTGAGAAAAGATTGGAGGGCAGGGGTGCTGTCTCAGGCTCAGGCTTCTTGCGAGGAAGATGTTTAAAGAAAGCTTTCACTGCTCCCGCCACCCCATCTTCATTTTCCATGGCCTTGGCAAGTTCCACTGCTCGCTCCTTTACCTGCATTGTCTCTCAAGTTTGAAGCCATTTGCAGAAATATATATTTTTCTAGCATTCCAGCAAGACAATGAATTTTGAAAATGTTCTAAAACAATGTAGAGCTGCATACTGTTTTGTTCACATTTACAATAACCGCCTTGTTTGGTGCACTTTTGGGACTACTTAAAGATTTATTTATTTATTTATTTTATTTTGCAAATCTATGGCTGGCTGTTTGGTGCAGCTGCTTCTTACAACTTATGAAAAACTAATTACTGAAAAGCAAGGAAAGGGTGTTTTAAGTTTCTACTTTCTGATTATTAACTTTTAGCTTGCAAGAAACTGCACCAAATAGGACAAATATCACTTTAATTTTTGGCTTCCGCTAAAGGGGGTTGCCGGGGACATTGAAACCAGAATAGTAAGCACTTTTGAGGACAACTATAGCATATATAAATTGCAGTAGGAAAATTAAGCCGTCTAGAAAATTGGACGTTACCTTTGGATCTAGCATAAAAGAAATTGCATCAACCAGCTTGGTAAGTGAGAACTCATCAACTGGTATAGGAGCGGGACCTACTCCTCTGGCATGGACACGATCTCCCCAAAAAGGTTGGTCACCAAAAAAAGGTACAATGGTTGTGGGACACTATACAACATGTAATAAAAACATAAGACAAACAGAACTACATGTAACAGAAAGTAGAGTAAAATGGGCCATGAAGCCATTACCGCAGCTTTAAGACCAGCAGCTGTTGTTCCCGCACCTCCGTGATGCACCTGAAAGCAAAACCACATAGCAATAAGAATTGTCTATAGTGTTCAGAAGAAAACCACATAATAAAGTTGAAGTTTTGCAAGACTTGTTATTCGAAGTACTTTATTACAGCCAAAAATGTACCCAAAAAAAGAAACCTTTTTTTTCTTTCCCTCAGAGAGATTTCCATTTTCAACAAGGACACAATATAAGACATGGAATTAGCAATCTACAGTAAGCTGTGTGTGTAAAAGTTCAGCAACCCAAATGGCCACAAACTAAATAATGAGGCCTCACCACAGATGCAAATTGTAAGATATCAACTATCAAATAAAAATCAATTAGTCGGATATCAACAATTGAATAAAAATTAATTGTTCGGATACTAACAACGGAACTGCTATTTTGTTCAATTCTTAATGTTCGAACAACTAATTTTTGTTTGGTAATTAATATCCAAATGGACAAAATGGGTCGTACTAAGAAATTCCAAATGGCCACAAACTAAGTAGTGAGGCCTCACCACAGCAGCACATTGTAAGAAAAGCCAGTCATGAGGGCAATTGTCCAGCAAGTACACAAAGTCCTTTGGTTCTGCCACTGGGGAAAAAAAAATAAAAAATCAGCAAAATAAATAGACCAATACATTAAATAGGCAAGCAAAGAAGACAAATATAAGAGGAGATTTTGTTACACAACACAAGCTCCTTGTTCCATTTTACATAGCATGGTTGACAACCATGCCCAACAGCTTAAGGAAAGCATTTGTGAATAATACATTTATAAAAATTCCTTTACTTAAATAAATATTTTGGGAACAAATAAAATTAAAGGAGGGTAATATGGAAAAGTAATTATTAAAAATTTTGAATTTCAAAAATGGATATATAAAATGCGACTTTTAAAAAAGAAAGTATTCAAATGGGGCTGGAGCAGTCTAATTGAATGTATAGAGAATCCCTATCTAAAAAAAATGCTTAGAGAATCAAAGATGAAAACGGAAACTTACAGTTACCGAGGCCACCCCAGCCTTTATTAATAATACCCCTTTGCCCGGTTGTTTCAAGTGCTTCCACAATTATTTGGGTCATTTTCTCAGGCTGTTGAACGGGCTGAAATGAAAGAAATAACTTAAATTTGGGAACATATACTGTTGTTCAAGAGAGAAAAGTTAACACTAAAACAGAAGAGGACTAGGGTGCATAAACAGAATTTACACTTGACTTCATCAAGCTAATGAAGAAAATATCCATACAGCCATCACTTAAAGTTAAAAACGCTAACAGAGGGCCTTCCATGTTGAGTGGAAAATTGCTTTAAGTTTCTCTTCAGTAATCTTCTAACAATTTCCATAATTACTTAATTACTTCACTCGATCATGATTATCAAATAAACTGACAAGGGAAAATTCATTGAAAGGATAGAAAAACAAGGAATTAAAAATGATAAAAACTGAAGATGCTCACAAAAACAAACAAAAATGCTTCATTAGATGCTCCAAGCATTGTATCAACACAACAATTGTCATTTGCTCGGGTTTTTACTTCCTTCAAATCAATCAAAATACAATTATTTTGTCAACAGAATTAATAATAGATATTAATAATAGTAAAGCGCAAGGAAGAAACCCAAGCCTACAAAACAAGTGCAATTTGAAGAACTAAATAATAGAATGACTGTATTATTCCCTCTTCTTAATCCTCTAACATCGTCTTAAGCACAATAGGTCATGTTTCCTCTTATACACTCCAATGATATTCTAGAACACAATAGTCACCACACCGAAATTGACTTGTTTAAGTAGCCACCAGAAAATAGGAAATTCACAGAAAAAGAACATAAATCTAAAGACTACTAAGAAGGATACTTACAAGGCTTCCAAACCCGATATAGATCGGCTTTTGCCCAGCTTTAAGCCAGTCTACAAGCTCCTGAGGAGGTTCATAATTTGATGCAAGATCAAGGAAGCAAAATCCTACCACATCAACCTTGTGTCCCCAATCTGAAATACAAGAGACGACAATAAATCTGAAACTGATATTCTTCTAGTAACAGTCATGCCAGCTCATAAACATGGACCAAAAAAGGAAAAAGACAGAGAAAAAAGGAGAAAAAAAAAGAGAGAAACATAACGACATAGAGAACATACAAGCAAAAATGATACAAAAAAAAATAAAAAATGGTTTTAATTTTTCCAACTAAACACAGAAGTATGTAAACTGAAATGACAGACAATTGCATGATGAAAGGCTAAATCTAAAGACTACTAAGAAGGATACTTACAAGGCTTCCAAACCCGATATAGATCGGCTTTTGCCCAGCTTTAAGCCAGTCTACAAGCTCCTGAGGAGGTTCATAATTTGATGCAAGATCAAGGAAGCAAAATCCTACCACATCAACCTTGTGTCCCCAATCTGAAATACAAGAGACGACAATAAATCTGAAACTGATATTCTTCTAGTAACAGTCATGCCAGCTCATAAACATGGACCAAAAAAGGAAAAAGACAGAGAAAAAAGGAGAAAAAAAAAGAGAGAAACATAACGACATAGAGAACATACAAGCAAAAATGATACAAAAAAAATAATAAAAAATGGTTTTAATTTTTCCAACTAAACACAGAAGTATGTAAACTGAAATGACAGACAATTGCATGATGAAAGGCCCGGAGAAGGCATGTAGGAACCCATTCGACAAGATATCAAGAAAGGTTGTTTAACCATACACAAGCATTGTAACATTTATAACAATCTTTATGCATCCCTTGTATGTTATTACGTAGGTAAGTAATACTAAAAGATGGGAAAGGGGAAAAAAATAAACAAGAAAATCCCCAAGATTGAGACACAACTTGAGCCAACAACAGCAAACCCATCCCATCCACATGAGCAGACACTCAACCCAAACCAAACCATTTTCCAACCTTAAATGCTTTTTAAATTGGTGAATAGAACCTTAAATGCTTCCAATATTAATTTTTTCTATAATATAGCAATGCCCTCTTATGCAGTCTTATAATTTTACTCATATGCTATATTTAAATACGCATAGCCCCTCAACAGATTTTTTTTTTCAAATAATTAAATATTTTCCTTTCTATCTGTCCTACATTCAATTCGCAGACAACCCTATTCTTCTTTTCACTCAGACTTCTCTTATTTTTCTCTTTTCCCAATTTAGTCTTTCCCTCTTTCATTTACAAGAAAGCTTTTAACACACACTCCCTTACGATACACACTCCCTTACCACAAGCAAAGTTATGAATTTTTGAAGTGTTAGTTATGAACTATTGTGTTTATGTAATGAAAGGGTACAAAAAAGTCTTAATTATGAATCATTGTGGTAATGTTATGAACATTAAAATGTTAAAAAATATTGCGGTAAAAAAAGTTACGAACCGTTATGTTTTTGTTGTGAATCCTTCTGTAGTTTACCATTCATGTACTAGTTGAACATGTGATATTACTTGTGATTTGCACTTTTCTAATGGTGAATCATTGAAGTATAAGTTCCTAGAACACATTTAAAGTGTTCTCATTATTTATTAACTTACTTTTAATACAAATTTGTTTTAATAATTATGTAAGTAGTTTAAACTTTTCCTGGCCTGACAACTTAGACTTTGCCAATGCCTTGTTTTTATCCCCCCAACCACAAAATCTTGGCTCCACCCAAGTACATCATTCATCAGAAAAGTAAGGAATATAAGCCCAACCAGATGCTTCTCCTTGTATGGAATCAACCAACTCATACAACTTGACATAATGACAATCAAACCTCTCATTGCTTTTCCATCTCTCAAACAACTTAGAAACATCAGGTGGATGAATTTAAATCAGACCATGTATCTCTAACAGAAACCATTTCACCAACTTGGTTTTGAAACTCTCACACCTACATGGCCCCTTCACTGAAGCCTAACGTTCTATTCACCTTCAAAGGATAGGCTGCTTGTGGTATTTGTCATGCTCCAATAGAATCAAGAAAATTCACGTTATGAGGTTGAGCACATACGAGGCCGACTTCAAACATAAAACAAACATATTTTTCCTTGATCATTGTCCTAATGTTAAACCCAACAAACAAGGAAGAATTTTTCTCAATTTACTACCTGCCTAACAAAGAGATTTAACCAAAACTAGTTACCATTTTCGATGAGGAATTAATGCCTTCCATTCTCTTATCAAAGGGTTTGCCAAATATTCAATCATGGTAACAAAAATGGCTTCGTTTTAAATATTTCTGGGAAACACAACTGTCCACATTAATTCAATATCATTGTGATGGAATGGATTGTGAACCACTTTAATTCGAAACTTAGGTTCCACCACAAGAAAATCATAAATTTTATCTTGGCTTTAAATTCTACTCTTTTTTTAAAATAAAATAAAATAAAAAAATCTGCAAGGAAAAAGCAGATTGCTTTTACATTGTCAAGTCACATGCATATTGCACCAACCAAGGCGCAGTTAGGAAGGTCTCTTCTTTTTTGTTTTGTATTTTTATTTATTATTTATTTCATAGCTCTTTTTTTCTATTGTTCCCTCTTTATCTTATTTGAGTTTCATTATTTAAGAAAAAAACATTTATAAAAGATTGTGGTTCATCTGTGTCTTGACCTTATGGACAAAGTTCAGTGTCCGCTCCTAAATTACCACCCATATTCTCTACGAAAGAATTGGATAACTATGCTATAGTCTATATCTAAGTTCACTGCTCTGAACAGATGACACTTACCCTAGTTTGATAGAACTAAACGAAACAAGAAGATACAAACCTAAATAACAATAATAAACTGTTTAAAGAAGAGCGCAACCCATTGCACAAACTAAAGCTATGCCCTCCCCTCAAACAAATAAGAAAAAACGGGTGAAAAGAATGGACACAATTAAAAACAGAGCTATATATGTAATATTTATTAAATACCCAACTTTCCTTGGGTAATAAAAAAGTTACTAAAGCAAATGGTTGTTTAACATAATGAAGCAAATCTCAAGAATTACATTATCTAAACAAATTGAATAGTATCCTAAACATAAAACAACAGAATATAAATCTAAATAACCACCTTTTGGTTTCGGAACGAGGTGAGGACTCCAAATGTATCCGTATGGCACATTAGATTCTGAGCCTTGTGAACCACTTAAATAGGTGACCGGCCGTAGCTTCAACTTCTTCTTCCTAAGATCATTTACCATATCCCGTATTCCAAGCCAGATCAGAGAGTCAACAATTTGATATGACAGCGGCAAAATTCATACAAGATGTAGAGAGAACAAAAAATCCCACAACATCAAAAGAAATCAAATTAAGAGAAGTAGGAGTAGTTAACAGGACACAAAACATAAAATTGTAAGGGCTCACTCTATATCCAGCTGATTGCTTAACACGGGATAACGGATGTGGAAATATATTGGATCATACTTAAAAATTTACAAAAATTGATCAATATTTATTTTTAACCCAATAAATATGATCATGAAAAAAAAATATGCGTATCAGTACGTTTTTTTCAAATTGTGCGAAAAATAAAAAAATTCACGGTTCCAGTTACTGCAACCGTTACACTACGGCCTTTACACCCCGCAACCGCAACCGCGTCACCGCCACCGTTACGGCGATCGCAACCGCTTTTCAGAACCTTGAGCACAACCCATTGCACAAACTAAAGCTATGCCCTCCCCTCAAACAAATAAGAAAAAACGGGTGAAAAGAATGGACACAATAAAAAACAGAGCTATATATGTAATATTTATTAAATACCCAACTTTCCTTGGGTAATAAAAAAGTTACTAAAGCAAATGGTTGTTTAACATAATGAAGCAAATCTCAAGAATTACATTATCTAAACAAGTTGAATAGTATCCTAAACATAAAACAACAGAATATAAATCTAAATAACCACCTTTTGGTTTCGGAACGAGGTGAGGACTCCAAATGTATCCGTATGGCACATTAGATTCTGAGCCTTGTGAACCACTTAAATAGGTGACCGGCCGTAGCTTCAACTTCTTCTTCCTAAGATCATTTACCATATCCCGTATTCCAAGCCAGATCAGAGAGTCAACAATTTGATATGACAGCTGCAAAATTCATACAAGATGTAGAGAGGACAAAAATCCCACAACATGAAAAGAAATCAAATTAAGAGAAGAAGTAGTAGCAGTCAACAGGACGCAAAACAATAAAATTTTAAGGGCTCACTCTATATCCAGCTGATTGCTTAACGCGGGATAACGGATGTGGAAATTCACTAGTTGGCCTGGTAACAGACAATAAAATTCCATTTTCACTATGCAGTTATGTAATACTCATATAACCTTGTAACGAGAAGCAAATAATACAATGGAGAGGGGAGGCAGGAAATTATAAAATGCACAATAAATAATGCGAAATGCAACACATTTTAAAGTAAAACTGCATTACCAAAAAAACTTACGTCCATGGCATCGTGAAAAATACATGAAGCGGTACTTTCAGAGCCTCTGCCACATGTGTATGCCCTGAAAACATGTTGTCGAGGTAAATAACTGAATGTGAAACATAGAATGGAAAGATGTAGGTTTTCATAAAGTAAAATATCAGTAAAAATAAATAAAAATGATTGGAGGTGGACAAAGGTAATTCACATAATTAATTCACAGAACAAGAGGTTCTAAAAATTACAAATTGTGCAGTCTCAGAAAGAGAGAAAACCAGAACAGACTAGGCCTGGGATAACATAGAAGATAAAGCGTTTCCCAATCCATATATTCCCATAATGAAGAATGCTAAAAAATATAAAAACATATATATAGCTTAAGTTATTTTGTCGTTATTATTATTTATTTTATTTTATTTGTTGGGGGGGGGGGATCATTTAGCAGACAAAAATTTGTTTGGCTACAGCTTTGAATTATGTTCCTAAGGTGTGCATATTTGTCATTTCCTTTCACCATAAAGCCTATTCATGAAAACAAATAAACAATACTCAGAGATAATGGCAAGCAACAAGTTCAACTTTAAAAAGTTGAGGAATTTGTTCATCCATTACCTATGTAACCAAACACCACCAAAAGAAAGGAAAATGATTAGAAAACATTGAGACAATGAGTGTGTGGGTTAATGGAATGGCAAACTGTTGTGTCAACCACAGTTGACAATCCATGGATCCCCAAACCTGTTTTCTCTTGACGAAAGTGTTCAGGAAATATGCTATGCTTAAAGAAAGCTTGGCTGAGCCTAGATGGATGGGAACGAACCTATCAGGTAAAGGCCATAACCACCCTCTTAACAAATATTCTCAATCTGGAATCCCATATCTTGCTTCTTTTACAATGTCAGTTTAGGTTCCTACAAATCAGTACCCCTTTCAGGCTTACTTTCCCAGCTGTCTAATAATGTTCAGCTACCCACTCTTGTTCCTAAGGAAAAGGAAAATCTCTCACACTATCTACAGATGCTGACCAGCATGAAACTTTCACGCACTTGAAATACGCAAAGACAAGCCAAAGTACTTGGGAGAAAGACGATTGACAAGCAATATGTGAGGCAGAACCATTTCAGTCTACCAATGCAAATTAAATCACTGAGAGCTAACAACAGATCCCCGATACACAGACTGTTTGGTTACCGGAATCAATTACGTCTCACCTTTGTGCTGCCATGAAAGAAACAGAACCAAGCAAGGAACCATGCAGCACATCATTGTGACACCAATAGTCTTTCATAAATGCCATTATTTTCTAGCAGGTTCATTCAAAGTAACACACCAAGCTGGGCAGAAATCTACAAAAGGGAAGCCCTTGGACTTATTAATAACATGATTCCTAAAAGAATAGAGTCACATGGGCAACCAGTATTGAATTCTTGTCAGTTATGAACAAACTAAAAAGTGGCATTGGAGTTCCATATCAAAGAAGTATGTATCTCTTCATATAGCATTTTTGTTGTACAATTTGAGCTATGATTGCAATCAAGAAACAAAACTTCTTTTTGTTTCCATCACAAAGTTCGATGTTTCTATCTCCTAGGAGACCGAAATTACATTTTTCTATTCCATTTGATCTCTTGGATCTTAGATACAAATAACATTTATCTCCCAAAAGAAATAAAATTTGTAGGAATTATCCTTTCATGGGAAGAAAAAACAAAAAAGTCTCTAGCTAACACAATTTCAATTGCATTTTCAAAATCCAAAATGAATCAGAGCCAACAACTATTTGACTAAAACAAAAAGACAAATTAGTGCACACATTCATATCAATGAAGCTAAAAAGCTAAATTACCCAAATGCTAAAAGAGAAAATTCCAAGACAAGACAAGACAAGACAAGAAAGAGAATAAATAAAAGAGAGAAATAAAATAGCAAGGTACAAAAGAAAAACATAAATTAAGTAGCTAAATCTAACCGTATACTGGAGGATTGGCAATAATTGCATCTGCTTTAAAAGGAATGCCAGAATCCATGTCAGGTTCTTTACATGCAGGAAGTAAAGAGTATATTATATCCTTTATTTGGTTTCGTTGAACAGGGATCTCTGAAGGCCCTGATGGCAAGAATCCTTTGTTTTTAACCATATCTGCACCAAAGAATTTTTTTTTAATGAGACCTATTTGTCAACCCCATTAGAGAACTAACTCAGAACTTACTCATATAGAAAATCAAACCAATTTTTTGTGTCAACTATTTTCACAAAGCGCTTTCATTTTTAGAGCTTCTCATAAAATAGTTAAATGTAAAAAGTAAATGACAAAACAAAGAAGAATTCATATACAATCACAAAAAGTATGAAAGACATGCCAACAAAAGAAATGAAGAACCTTGATATTTTGAATTAGATTTCATCACAATGCAAAACTCTTGATAAAGCATTTCAAGAAATTAAATCAAATACAAAATTCACGTTCAAAGAATTAATATGAAAGCAAAAAAGTGTGAAACAGTTAAGTCATTGGCAATGCCGCAACACAACATTCAATCAAAAGATGAAAATGAATCATAATGAAATTCATATGAGATCAACAAGTTGGTTTTTACATACATCCAGCAAGAATTTTGGGATCTCCACCTAGAGGGTAAAACTCCAATCCAGCTGTCAAGACAAAATCCTTGAAATTCGAATGAGTTGCTAATCTCACACGATGGCCATAATCCTGCATCAGAACATCCACATCAACTAACATATATCCAAGATGAGGCTTCAAATTTCCATTTTTTTTTTTATTATTATTATTATTTATTTTTTTTGACAAATGAGGCTTCAAAATCTCATAAAAATATAGATTTCATATATTTTTGGCAATTGTACTTTCAGTGAACAAACTAGAAAATAAATAACACGTATAACGTTAGAAATAAATGGTAGCAAGCATAATAAAGAAATAAAACCACAACAACGTCATATTTTTGTTTAGAGAGAGGGAGAGAGAAGGATATCATCCAAGGAAAGAAGGAAACTCAGACTTAGATTATAGTCATTCAATTCAATTGCAAAACTGCCTCGTTACCACAAATACCAACAGATAGAGAGGCTGGTAATGACTGATGCAGAATACTCACATAGAAAATTCATATTCTTAGTCGGTAGGAATTAAAAAATAATTACCAAAAAAGAACAGTTTCTGTCTGAAACATTTACATGGTTAAAAGAAAAGTAAAGAATAGGACCCTACAGGAGGAAAATGGATTTATAAAATTTGTCTTTTACTTTCATTATTTCTTTAACATTTTGAGTGGGGATGTCAGGTGCGGGGGCTAGGATGTTTATTTAATTTTTTGAAATAATTTAGTTAGCTATTATGCATTATTTTTTCCATTATCTAGATATTTATTAAAAACTTATTTTGGGATTATGACAAATATTTTACAAGGGATTACACGATAGCTACTGAATGGCACTGTAAAATTCAGTCAATATCAATCATTTTAGCAGGGGCCATTTATACTACCAATAATGCTATCTCATAACATGTATGCAGGATTTCCAAATCTGTTCCCCTTAGAGTCGCCTCTCAAATATCATCAAATAACATACAGTTTTCCACTCTTAAAGAATAATAATGCCGACCCAAATTGTCTTCTTCTTATTATCCCTGCACTACTATGAAGCACGGGTGCGGGTACGTGGGTACGGCAAATTGTTAAAAAAGTAGGGTACGGGTACGGCTTGGGTACGTCAATTTTTTTTTTTTTAATTTACATCCAACATACAAATCAAAATTCAATATCAAAACTAAAAAGAGAATAACTTGTCTAAAAAGTTATATAATTATTTCTTTTTCTTTTTTGATTGTCTAAAATAGGATACAAAGAGTGCAAAATCATGACTCATGGGCAAAGGGTGTTGGAAATAAATTGCTTGATATTTTCAAAATTGAAAGAAGAATAATAAAGCTTGCAATAAATTCTAGCATCTAAAAAAATAAAAAAATCATTTTGCCGTACCCACGACATATCCAAATGTATTTGTCATACCCGGCATGTATTCGCCGTACCCGGTACGCGTACCGCCATACTGGTACATGTACCCGCAACCGGTAAGTACCTGGTACTCGTACGGCATCATTTTTGGAGCACCCGCGCTTCATAGCTACACTATCATTGGCTAGCCCTTTTTAATTGTCTTTAGTTCTTCGGATGTGAAATATTTTTACAAGAGTAGCTTCTCTGTTAGAAGAGAAGAAGAGATAGCTTCAAGTTCCATGACTGCTATAGTAGTATAAAGAACAAGGAGAATTCTATTCTACACACCCCCATAAAATATGCACCCTTAGTAACGCCATTTTCTTCTTTAGTTATGACATTATTTTGAGATATTTTGGTTATAACTTTTTTGTGTTTGGTTATGATCTTTTTTTTTTTTATATAGTTATAACTCAGAAAGTATGGAGTTATGCTATTTTCTTCTGTAGTTATAAGGTGTATATGGTACACACCCTTTGAGGGGTGTGTAACATAGTCTTTCCCAAACAACAACTAGACTTCTTACATCTTCCTTGCACACAACCAAAAAGGTTCCACTGCCAAATGAAAGAAATGGAAATCTGGCTGGAACAATTACAGAAAGCCATCGAATACATTCAGAGGCTTCAATTATCCTTCTTTTTAGGAGAGGTAGAGGGCACTTTACGGAAAGGTGACAGAGAGAAGTAGCTTAGCTTGACCAACATTACGAGGTAAAGAAAAGGCATACCAGAAACACCCTTTGAGGGGTGTGTAACATAGGCCTTGTTTGGTTTGTGTTTCTCAAAAAAATTTGGGAAAAATTCTCTATAAATAAGTTTTCAAAAGTAATTAAACCAAACAAATTTTCCCAAATTTTTTTTCCAAAACTTGTTTGGTTTACAAATTTTCCAAACAAATCTCTCTTTCATACACATCAAATCAATCACTGTTTGCAAAACTCTCTCTCAAAATAATTTTTCAAAACATTTTTTGAAAAAACACCAAACCAAACAAATTTTCGTACTTTTTCTCTCAAAACATGTTTCTCAAATACAAACCAAACAAGGCCATAGTCTTTCCCAAACAACAACTAGACTTCTTACATCTTCCTTGCACACAACCAACAAGGTTCCACTGCCAAATGAAAGAAATGGAAATCTGGCTGGAACAATTACAGAAAGCCATCGAATACATTCAGAGGCTTCAATTATCCTTCTTTTTAGGAGAGGTAGAGGGCACTTTATGGAAAGGTGAAAGAGAGAAGTAGCTTAGCTTGACCAACATTACGAGGTAAAGAAAAGGCATACCAGAAAAAATCAAATAAAAAGACAGGAAAGACCAACCACGTACAAGACCTGCACTGAGTTGGTGGCAGACTGGGCTTTTTCCTGAATTCAGTCATAATCAAGTCACTGGTATTACTTACCCAAAAAAAGAGTCAATGGTATAAGTTCTCTTCCCCAACCCCCAACCCCTCCTCTTCTCCCTCTTTCAAGCTAAGCAGGTCAATGAATAACCTATTACTGAAGTAGTTCAAGGAAATAAAAAAACAAAACAGTCTGTACAGATGAGGAAAGACTTGCAACCTGCAAACGTTTGCCGATTGCAATAAATGGCTGCACGTCACCACGTGTTCCAACTATAAGAATCACTATTTGTAGCGGCGGAATATACTGAGGGTCTGTTAACTCAAGAGGTTCATCATCAGCTCCATTATAAACAGTACCAGATCCAACACCAAACGTATGTGGTTCAACATCTCCTGGAACTTCAAATTCTACAGTTCCATCATCTTTTACAGTAGCTATTCTGTTCAACAATTTCAACTGCAGCATCTCGGAAGAAATCCCAACAATGTAAGTAGGATAGGAAAAAAATTACAATATCAAATGAAAAATCATGCAATAAGATGATTGAATAAAACAAAGATAAAGATAAATGTAGAGGCTTTGCATGAAGTATCATGAGAATTAATTAATTAAAAGTACATTTTACAGCTATTACATAGCTTTTTTAGTGGGCTTTTTTGTCTTATTTTGAATTTTTTAATTAACATTCTATTTGCAAACATAAAAGTTGGTTCCAAACCATTAAAGCCAATTTATATATTGACATTAAACATATTAAGAGAACAAAAATCTACAACTAAGATGGAAAAAAATGTTTCCATATTATTACAATACGTGTAGATTGTGACTAAATGGTAAGACATTTGTAGAAAAAACTCGACAATCAGAAAACTGCATGTCCACTGCTCATTTTAGAGAATCAACACCAACTTGAAGTGAAAAGAGAGCAACTTGAAGAAAGAGTTTACACAAATTTGTACACATACAAGTATGCATTTACATACTTGTAAATGCATTTTTTAGTGTTTAAATTCCAAGACTACCCTTGCAAACATAACCAAACACCCCTATTCTACTGTTATTATTGTAACCAAGCACTCCTTCACAACCAAACACCTCACTCCACCACTCCACAACCAAACACCCCCCCTATCTCTTTCCCCTCACCCCACCCAACTCCTCTATTGTCATCACCACTAAATAACCCCGTGTGTAATGGTGGAAAAAACCATTCCATTTCCAAATTGCCATAGTTTCCAATTGAAGCCACTGGACAAATTTAGAGATCGCACTATAAGCTTATATATACACAATATGCATTTTGCCAAGTAACCCCAATCCATTTTGCCAAACCCAAAACCCACCGTTATAGATCTGGTCCTTATGTGCGTTCTCACAAATTTGGACAATATAAATACTTACATATATATATACACAATATACAAATACATTATATATATGTATACAATATACAGTATATATATATGTGCCTATATGATGCCGCTGTCGCCTCAAATCCACCTCCACTGATCTGGTCATTACAGGTCCATCAAATGGGTTGCAAATCTGGTGTTTTGGGGATGGATTTGACTCCGATGGGTAGAGTAGTTGGCTGTCAAAGGAAGTGGGTGTTAGTGTTACCAAGCGCACCACCCATCCACTGTTACAAACCCACCACTACCTACATAGTCTAGGTCTTCATCCCTTTATTTTTCTCTCTCCATGTTTTCCTTTCCTCTTTGTTTCTTCACAGTGGTGTTGATTATGGTGATGGTTGATGGTGGGGCTGTGATCTGTGGGGGTTGGTGGCGTGGTTAATGAAACCGATTGGGATTATGACAGAGAAAACACACACTCACACACACACACACACACACATATATGTGTGTGTATGTGTAATGTGTTTAAATATGTTTGCATGTATAGTTGTGAGGGTGGTGATGGTGTATTAGGGAAACTATGGTGCCTGTGCAATGGTGGTTTTAGAAAGAGAATGGAAGGGAAAAAGCAAGTGAATGGGTATGTTTAGTAGCAAAAATAGGTAGTGGGATGGAATATTTTGAATTAATAAGATTGTTTGACTACAAGTAAAAGTACAGGGGTAAAAATGTAAAATCAACTCTACTGTCAATGGCTGCTAGCCGACGATTCTGACGGGAGGACAGTGTAATTTCAGAAAATACAGGGGAGGTTCCTATAATTTGTCAGAACCTTAAAGGAGGTCTGCGTAATTAACCCTCAAAATTTGGATGTCTCCCTTGTAACATTTCCTCCATGTTCCAATTTTTTTTGCATAAAATCTAACTAACCCAAGGGAAAATTATAGAAGAAGATTACCGTTCTCTCCAATTATGATAGAAGAATAAGCGGTCAGATGTCTCATCATTATTGCACTGAAAAGAAATCTGTTTTGACTGTTCTAGATCGATTTTAAAAAGCTGTTTAAATTGTTGTTGTGACCAATCTGGCTATTGTTTAACGAATCTTAGTTATTAGCAAGGTATTTGAGGAGAAAGGAAAAGACTGACAACAAAATCGAACAATTTGGTAATTTGAAAAATAGTTTGCACCTAGAGCCCCATTTCCAGTATCCACCTGCAAGTGTCGATAGCACCTTTAAAAGGATATGTACCCAAGAATATGTTGATCAGTTTTGATCCCTTGCAAGGAAGCTAGGGATATGTGTATTTTGCTTCTCTCTGTATGTCGGCCTCGGTGATTCAACTGCTTGATTGTTGGGATCATGGGTGTCGCACATTGAGGGTCAACAAGACTTGGAGAGTGGTTCCTATGTGGCTAATGTAATGTATTTGGAGAAAAAGAAACAGATCAACTTTTTAAGAAATACAAATGGCTACACACAGACCAGTTTACCTTGCTTGGACCAAACCATTTTTGTTTAATGGAGGACTCTAGTGAATCCTCATTTTTGTTTGCTGATTTTATAGAAAAGTGGGGAGGGTATAGAGTTTTGTATAGTTGTACATACTTCCTTTTTTGTTTTCTTACCGTACAAGGGCAATGCCCCCATGGCGTCCCATTAATATTTAATCCATGCTTGTTCAAAATAAATAAATAAATAAAGGTGCCCAACCATCTCCTAACTCCCTTGATAAAATGAAATCTAGAGTTGAATGGTCCAGCCTCCTATATATGAAGTGACCCAATAGCACATCCAAACAAGGACATCATATATGTATGCATTATAAAGAACAAATGGCTCTTCAATATATTTCTATAACCTGATCAGAATATGTAATATAAAGTCTTTATCACCATAAATTGAGACTGGAAAAAAGATTAAAAACATCAATTTAGTTATTCATGTCAAACAGTAACGACCATTTTTGCAACGAGTGTGCAACCAAAAAAAGGAATTATACCTTCTGTTGGACAGGAATTTTATCATCGAAAATTTGTGCGGCCTCTTCAGCAAGTATATTGTTATTTCTATGCTTCTCGGTTTTTGATATTTCCAACTTAACCTGACTCGATGGTGGCTCTGATACGTCAGCACTCAATATCTCCACCGGTGAAGTATTTACTCTAGGAACATTCCCTCCATTGTCAGCAGTCCCTGCTGATTGAAACATAACCAATTTGAGATGGGACTTTGGGAAGTCGTTTTAACTTACAATTTTCAAAAGGGTTGCTTAGAGACTACTCATAGGTAGATTGGCATTTGCCAAATAAAGCCTAACTGTTATATAACTAGTCAACATACAAAAACTCTGTCAATGCTTGTAAGATAAAAATTGGGGAAATTACCATTCAGCAGTAATCATTAAAAATTATTACATGTTAATGAAAAAGTTAATGATTTTTTAATTATTAATATTTATAATGTTATCACTTTTTTGTACTTATGTTTTCTTCCTACCACTGTCAAGTTATTTCCCATATAAATTCCATAATCCCCATGTAATTGCTCAGAATGCACAGAGAAAAATGAAAAAAAAAAAAAAGAAACAGTATCTTGAATCAAATAAATCTATTGTCTTCCATTTTTCTTCCTAGAAAACTAAGAAAATAATAATAATAAAACTAGAAAATTATGTATCATGATATTCCAATTCCCCTAACTCTTCAAAACTTAGATAGCAGTTCTAGCCTCAATTGAATCTCTCTCTAGCTTCCAAATTTTCAATGTCAGTACATGTCAGGATTCAAGAACCAAAATTGACAGCTAAACTCCTATAATTCGATGATTAAGAATCATATCAACTAATCTAAGTCAGAGTCCGATTCAATTTTCTTTCGCTCCTTTTTTATTTTTTTCCACAATTTTTCGTCAAAGTTAACAAAACTCAATTGACGCGAGAGTTGTTCGATAAAATCAACTCACCTGCAGAGCTACCGCCGCCGTTGGACAGTGCACCAGCAGCAGCAACAGCCTCTCCGCCGTCGAATTCACGACTACTGCTACTACTTCCGCCAGTAACTGCCAGTTCGAACTTGACCGGAACTTCGCCGCAACTCGAGCTTCCTCGACTGCTCTTATGCTCTTCCATCGGTGGCGCCACGAACTCCGGCGACCACTCTCCGCCGAACTGCGGCTTCTCTTCTCGATCCAGATCGGTATAAACTTCCAGAACTACTGTTTATCAAATAATTATAAGCATATGATGTACAGGAAGATCTGTCGAGCCGAGATCGTTACCTAGAAAAAGATTTAGAGAGAGAGTCGGCACGTTCGGAGGAGAAGGAGCAGGGTCTGAGACAGAGGGAGGAGATTATTGTGGTAGAACACACGAGAGCACGGTACGCAACAACCGTAGTGGACAGTCTGGACCGACGTGTCTCCTTGAGGGGCACTGCGGTAAATTAGTTCCGCGATACCAGCCTAATTTGGAAAGTGAATTTTTCTTACAATAAAATAGAGTGATAATGTGATTTAAATAACTTAATAAATTAATGAATTGATTTTTTTTTGCCTCTCTGAATACACCCCCTTTTTATACACCTACATGGATGGGTGTGCAAATAAATTTTTTTTTTTTTGGTAAATTAATTAATTACTAATTTTTTATCAACAAATTTCATAATTTTTTTTTGAAACAATAAGTTTGGTCAACATAAATTCATGGATTTTATTTATTAAACATGTTGTTAGGATATTGCTAGAAAATTTAAAATTATATTTTTTTTATAAATATGTGTGTCACAAAAAGTGTATAATTGTTTTAAATTTTTGAACAAATTATATAAATGGTCCCTATTGTTTGAAATTTGTATCACTTTGATCCTTAATTTTCAATTGTGATATATTTGATCATAAATTTTGAATCTTGTTTCAAATAAGGACAATTGAAGATATTATTACTCAATTTCAACGGTAAAATTGTCAATTTGATAAAATGTAAACTAATTTGATAAAAATAAATGTGAATAAATTTTTTTAAATTTTTTAAAAATTATTTCTACTCACCAAAGATAAAATGTAAAATTAAAAAATCTTTTACACATTTATTTATTTATCAAATTAATTTTTATTATGTGCTTGAATGATAATCACGTAATGGGTGATTGTTTTTATTTTCATTAAATTAATTTCTATTTTTTTCAAAGTCAAATACGACGATAATTTTAATATCAATATTAAATCAATCCATTAAATCAAAAAATCCAAAACTAAAAATATTTCATATATTAAATATATCAATTACACATTAAAAGCGTAACAACCACTCATTACATGATCATCATCTAAACAAATAATAAAAATTAATTTGGTAAAAAAAAAAATAAATAAATACATAAAAGATTTATCAATTTTACATAATTTTATCTTTGGTAGGTAGAAATAATTTTTAAAAATTTAAAAATATTTTTTTGACACTTATTTTTGTCAAATTATTTTATATTTTATTAAATTGATGATTTTACCTTTAAAATTGAATAATGATATTTTTTATTAACTTTATTTAGAACAAGATTCAAAATTCAAGATCAAACGTATCACAATTAAAAAGTTATAGACCAAAATAACAAAACTCAAGAAACTGTTAGCGTAATCCGTCCTAAATTTTATTAATCAATACTATTGCATCATCATTAGCAAGACTCACTTTTTCATTATTCGCTAAGTTTAAAAAAATATTTGAATGTCTGAAAGTATCCTTTTTAAAGGACGTTAATTACACATAAAATGAATTTTAAATACAATTTATTAATGTAAATCTCATTGTTTAAGTTTCATCTTTTTTTAGGGATTATTTGAGAATACTTTTAACATTTTATAAAAAGATGTGTAAAAAAAATAAAAAAGTAATATAACTTAAAAAAATAAAAAATAAAAATAGATTAATATAAGAATTGCCAAACAACCTCTTATTCAAAAAGTTTCATATTTTCATCGAAAAATTTAAAAAATAAAAAATAATCACTGTGTTTGGTTTGAGTTTTCTGGATTAAGTTTTTTGAAAATTGACTTTTTTAGTTTTGTTTTTGTGTTTTTTTGTTTTTAGTGAATATTTTTTAAATTTTAAATATTTTTTTTACTTTTTTAAATGCACCTTACTTAGATGTATCTAAAAAGTAAAAAATTTGTGAAAAAATATTTTAAAAATTTAATAAATACATAAAAATACAAAAAATGTACTGAATTTTTATATTTTTTTATATTTTTGATATTTAGTGAATTTTTAAAAAAAAAAATTTATAATTTTTTTACTTTTTAAGTGTATTTATATTAGGTGTGTCTAAAAAGTAAAAAAATTGCTTAAAATATTAAAAAAAAATCAATAAAAACAAAAAAATACGAAAAATAAGAAAGTAAGATTTTCTAAAAAGTGTTTTGAAAACTGAAAACCAAACAAAGCGAATACAACTTGAATCACACAACCTCGCATTTAGCACATATATTACTCGTATTATAACAGGGAGGACACTTAGGTCAAGTTTGGCATGATTGAAAAAAGACAAAAAGTAAAAAAGTCACTATCCTATTTAAGTCACATCATCTTATTTAAGTCACATCACCTCTCTAACACATCACTTCAAACCCAACCCATATTTCATAAAAAGTCAAAAAGTGCACTTATTTAGTCTTCCCAAACTAGGCCTTAATTGTGCTTATCACTACAAGTTGGGACAATTCAAGATAAATATATACGTCAATTCTAATTGGAAAATTTTATTTATTTAAGGAGTTATTTTGTGAACTAAATATTTTAATTGATTTTTAATTTTTTTTTAAAAAAATATATAAAAAAAAATAAAAATAAGAGTTCAGTAACTTTTTGACTATGCTCTTGAGCATACTTTTTGTCTTGTTTCTTTTTTTTTTTTTTTTTTTTTTTTTTTGAGATTCTTCCAGTATTACGTGACTTGCCCCTATCATAATTACAAAATGCGTGGCAAAATGTTGAATAATGATTACTTTATTACTACTAAATGGAGGATTTTTTATTTTTTATTTTTTTGTGTAAATGATAGCCAAAAAAAGTTGCACCATACTTGAAATCAGCAAATTATTTTTTCAAATTAAAGTGATTGTTGAATTTTAACTTTAATAAATCATCTTCAACAACAAATAATACATGATAATGCCTCCATTTGGGAAGTAGATTGATTTTTTAACTTTTTGACTTTTTTGGTTATTTTAGTCTGGGCTAAAAAGTTTGATTTAGAAAAGACTTTTTGACTTTTTTTGTAAAAGAAAAGTGTAATGATTATGGGTTGGATGTGATGTTTTATTTGCTATGATTAAAATAGTTTATTTTGTCTTTTGTAACTAAAATAACCCTAAATCTTCTTGCCAAACGGATAATATTTATAGCTTGAGTAAGATATTTTACAATATATTATATCACATTAGTATATAAATAAGAATATTACCTATTCTTATAAGAATAAGATACCCACTATATGATCATTCCAATGGGAATTGTATGAGTGATGGAGAAGGAAATATGCATCATCCACAACAACTTAAGTCCATCAAAAATCCATGTAAGTTAGCAAAAATTAGTTTAAATCTAATCTACAATGTTTAATCAATGGATTTAAATGGATTCTTATATAAATACAAAAAAGTTCAGACGTATAGTTGAGTTTTATATCTTAAACAAATTAAAGACTTTCCTAGAAGTAATTAAATAAAGAAAAAAAAAAAACAAAAGGCATGTTTGGTAATCAATTATGGGTTGGATGTGATGTTTTGTTTTTTGTGGCTAAAATAGCCTATTTTGTCTTTTGTGGCTAAAATAGCCAAAAAAACCCCAAACTTATAAATACAAAAAAGTTCAGACGTGTAGTTGAGTTTTATATCTTAAACAAATTAAAGACTTTCCTAGAAGTAATTAAATAAAGAAAAAAAAAACAAAAGGCATGTTTGATAATCATTTTATTTTCAGTTTTCAATTTATATTTACAAAAATTTTAAAAACTATCATAAAAACTTGTTTGATAATTTTTTTGATTTATAAATGGTTGTCTCAGTTTGTAAATTTGAGGAAAAAACGTAATTAAATAGAAATTTAAAATTTTGACTAACAATTTTTTTCCAATTAATTTTTTAAATTTTTTTTTCAATTATAATGTGTATCCATTGTCATAAATAATAAAAAATAAATATAAATATTTTAGGCCTAAACAAACATATTTTTTAGTTTATGTTTTTAAAATTTTCCAAATATTTTGTTCAAACCAAACGCGTTTGTAGTTTATATTTTTTTAAAAATAAACAAAAACTAGTTTATAAAATTTTTGTAAATATAAACAAAAAAACGTAAACGTTACCAAGCGCTACCGTATTATTCAAATAAATTGACACTTGTTACAAGTTGTATGAATTTAAATAAGAACAAAAAATTGAAAAATATAGCAATCGACAGAAAAAAATAAAATAAATGGGGGTTAAAAAACTATCACTAATCTACGCCTATAATTGCTAATTTAACTACTCCTAACTAGAAGCTAATATCACGAATTGTGAGTGCTTTTTGAATTCATTTTCTTTATATCTCTCTTGACCTATTAATAACCTCAGCGACATGAAAGAAAAAGAGAGAATCAAATCCCACAATTTCCTCAACAGATCATGGTTTCTTATACATCATTCATATATCATATTCATAGTAACTACTTTGCAGATTTTGTACTTAACTTAGTCTTGACTCAGTATTGACTCATTGATCTCAACAACTAACTTTCAAATAGCTATAATGGCTAACTTTTTGTCTCTCAATTTAATATGTCATCATGTCATGTCATGCCATGTCCTTGACACATCTATTATGTTATGTTAACATGTTTATCGACAAAAATAATAATAATAATAAATGTGACTAAAGTTATCCTTTAAAAATAATTTATAATTTTAATCGTCAAATTATAGTTGAATTTAAACATAATTAATAGACTACAATCGATAAAAGATAAGATGTGATGCGAACTGGTGAAGAGTGTAGAAATTGAGAACCAAGTTTAGTCTCTCTCTCTCACACACACAAATAAATAAAAAAATAAATAAATGAGGAAAATAAATGAGGAATCAATAACTTTATTTAGGTGCCAAATGAGTTGTCACCTTATGGAAAAACTTTGGGCAACAGTTAAAAGGATTGGACATAAAGTCAAAATTAAATTCAATTGAAATAAAAATCCACACATACAGTTGTGATGTGAAAAATGTTTGAGACTCGTCAAATAATTTTTTAAATTTGATTTATGTTGATGTAATATGATAAGTATTAATTTTTAATTTATCAAATACTCAATCATATAAGATTCTACTTTCTTACTGCATCAGTATGAATAATTTAAAAGTTTAAATTGTGAGTTT